GCACTTGAATTAACGATTTATTACAGTAAATAAAGCATTCTATTGCTAATATTTCGGTCAAAAAATATACATTTTTTAGAACATTTATTTAAGGAAAAATTTTCAATAAATTCACTGGATTCAACAGATTTCAACGGATAGTTTATGACCGAATATAAAAATCCAGCGGATTGAGCTAAAAAATAGTTGGATATCCACGGATCCAAGCACTAATCTTATTAATATATATGTGGTAATGAAAAAGTTTGTTCTTAATTCCGATTATAAAATTTCCAAATTAGAACAACAAAGTTGAGTCAAAAAATATGGTACAATGCTGGTTAGATATATATTGTATTTTTCAGTATATATTAATGGAGTATTCGATTCATTTTGTTGATTTAATTCAAATCACAAGTAAAAATATCTTCGAACAATGAAAATGACTGAGTTCCAGTAGAATGGGGTACCTTCGTCTCATACGAATCGATTGAAAATCTCCATAATGCTGCCAAACATTTTGAAATAGACGTATTGAACTCCTGCGAGTATGTATAATTTAATAATTATATTCACTGTTATTTTATTTGTCAAATTTTATTATAAATGATTAAATATTTCTTAAAAAGATGGGTAGCAACTGAAAAAATTGATGGAGTAAATTTTTCTTTCCATACCAATGGTCATAAAATCAAATGCGCTCGCCATAATGGCTTTCTCGAACCAGATGAAAAGTTTTTTAATTATCAATCAACTCTCGCAAAATATACCTCACAAGTTTTATCATTTTATAAACTAATGCAATCGAAAAATCTAATTAAAGGAGAAATGATTGTTATTTATGGAGAATTATTCAGAGAAAAATATCCTCATCTAGATATAACTAAAAATACAAAAGAAAAATCAAAATCAGTTTGAAATAGTGTTTATTATTCGCCAACAAAAGAATTCATAGTCTTTGATGTATTTGATGATTTAGATTTATTGGATTTTGATATAATGGAAGAATTATTAAAAGAATCAGATTTACCTTATTTAAAACCATTAATTAGAGATAGTTATCAAAATATTATTAAGTATGAACCAAAGTTTACTACTACTATACCAAAATTACTTGGTTATCCAACTCCGCTACTACCTCTTTTCAATGAAAATATAGCAGAAGGAATTGTAATTAAACCGATTAAAAGCATTCGAACTAGTGTTCAAAGATAAGCCAGCTTAATGCGGCTTATCACGTGATAAATTCAAATTTATCACCAAGCCATGTGATATCTTCGAATTTATCACATGATATTTTTGCGATTATCACATGGCTTGGTGATAAATTTGAATTTATCACGTGATAAGCCGCATTAAACCGCAGCAAGCCGTGATAAGCCGGCTTGTCTTTGAACACTAATTCGAACCTTAAAAGGAAGTCGTATTATAATCAAAATTAAGCCTCCACAATTTGAGGAACAGATAAAAAATCCAGAAAACTTGAATAAAAATGAAAAAACGCCAATTGACATAGTCAAAATGAACTTATTTGAGTTTATTAATATGAATAGATTGAATTCGGTAATTTCAAAACTGGACACTAAAGATAAAAGTGATGAGATGAAATTGGCAAACTTGTTATATGAAAATGCTAAGGAAGATTTTATGAAAGATGAAGAATTGAAGAAAAAATTTTTGGAATTATCGGATAGTAATAAAGAAACGATTAGAAAAGCTGGTGTTTCAAAGTCAAAGCATTTTGTTAAAGAATATTTGAAATCATTATTAAGTAGTCAATAGTTAAACGATCATAATTTTGAATACATATCCTATCTTTTATCAGTATATAATATATAGCCAGTTAAATTTCTTTTATGTTTACTAGTTGTGTTCTGTGCTTTTGCTAATTTTAGAGTTGCATTATTATTTTTTGTTTATTACAGTATTATAAATAATATATTATTATTATACTGTATACCAAATAAATTAATTTTTTCAAGCTCGAAAAAAAACATTTAACAGAAAAAAAAAGTATATCCTAAATATAATAGGAAAAAGATAAAAAGAGCAGAAAAAAAGACATAGGAGTTCTGATAGACACACCTAAAAAAAAACAAACAAAAGAAACAAAAAAGAAATGTACACTATTATAAAGTATAAAGGTCATAGGCAGACATTCGTATGATTGGCTGTTTAAATCAATTTAATTTTACATTATTTATACAGTTTAAAGCAGTGTTAGCAAATGACCGGTCATTTGATTTTAAATGACCAAATAACCAAAATAATGTCCAAGTCATTTACCATTTGGTCATTTAAAATTAGAAGTTACACAAACCTAAATTCGGCAATTTTATTGGCTAGATCTTTACTATACTAATTTTATTTATAAGATTAAACTAATTATTATTGTCATAAGTTAACTTTAAATTAAGCTATATATAAGTACTCATCTTAAGAGTTTTGTATCATCATATCATATGCACAAGTGTATAAATACTGAATTAAGTAAACCATCGGAGCTAAATTGGATTAATATCTGTAATTGCTCCCCAACTGATAGTCACAATATGGTAAGGAAATTCAGATTAATTCAATAATTTGGGAGTTAGTTATCACAATACTGATTAAACTATCCTGGAAAAGAGTTACTCTAGCACATATCTTGCACTTTTTATTTTTATAATTTTTATATTAAGTCATTAGGTCATTTCAACTTTCAAATGACCAATGATCAATTCATTTGGTTATTTTGGTCATGTTTATTTGAAATTGCCAACACTGGTTTAAAGTGCTTTTCAAAAAAAAGAAAACTATTACAAATAAACAAAAAAGAAGTATATAGAAAATTTTATTAAGGTTGTAGGACTCCACTATTAAAAATAATCAAAATTCTTCTTTGTTTTAGTGAAGTTAGCATGGTATAACCTAATTTTATCAATCTTTAAGAAGTCGCTATTATGCTAACTTCTCTAAAACAAAAAAGAATTTTGATTATTTTTAATAGTAGAGTTCTACAATGCTAATAAAACTTACTATATACTTCTTTTTTGTTTATTCATAGTAGTTTTCTTTTTTTTGAAAAGTACTTTAAACTGTATAAATAATGTAAAATTAAATTGATTTAAACAGCCAATCATACGAATATCTGCCTATGAGTATAAAGGTAGAAATTATATACTAATTACAACTAATTAATATATCTCAGCTGTAAAGCTTTGCTTTAATGTTAGGACTTGTTTTGGATATGTTACCAGGACTATACCAGGACTCCGGATATCTCTCATATAGCTCATAACTGATCTGCATAAATTTTGGGGTTTTTGCTACCCCAAAATCAAGTAAATTCGCTAAAAATTCAATAAATTTTATAGTAATTTACTGAAAATTTAATTATCATATATATATTTATACAAAAAATAAATTTAAATATATTTTTGAGTGCTGAAAAAGTTTACTTAGAACAAAAAGTTAGAATAAATTAGTAAAATTTTAAGAATTATAGTATTTTTTGGTATTTTTATTGAATTTTACTAAAATGCACCTATGGTATTTTTACATCATAGATCCTATTTCTCAAAAACATACTAAGTAAACAGGATCAGATTCTTTAAGTAAAAATGTTTAGAACCTCAAAAACTTTATAAAAACTAAAATCGGGCTCTATCGGGCCCTTATAATATATTATATAAAAAAAAAAAATTCTTAATTTCCTAACCCTAACCCTAAATTTATTAAAAGAAATTATACATAGGTGCTAAAACACTATAGATGCATTTTATAATATTTTTTTTTATTAATAAAATTATGTAAAATATTATAATCCTTAAAATTTTATTAATTGATTCTAACTTTATACTTTAATAAATCTTGTTCAGCACACAAAAATACATTATGCTAGCATATTTAATTTTGGGAATTTCTAAAATTACACTAGTGTATACATGGGTATTAATTTATTGATTTGCAAATCTGTGTAATATATAAATTTATAAAAAAAAACTACTTAATATTAGGGTTAGAGTTAGAAGTTAGAGGTTAGGGTTAGAGTTAGAGTTAGAGTTAGAAAATATTTTATACTAAAATTTTGTGTAGATTATTTTTTGTTAGAACCTTCAAAGTAGTTTCATAGGCAAAATTTTGAGAAATTTTGGGTAATAACAATACCTTATGTGTACACACTAGTGTACAAATAGCAATTCTCTTTAATTTTATATTTTAAAATTTTAAAAGAAGATACTTAATTTAGATATTTTGATTAAAAAATTTAAAATTAAGCATCTTCTCTTAAATATTCATGAAATATAAAATTAAATATGCTAAAATAATGTATTTTTGTATGTTAAACAAGGTTTATTAGAGCATATAAATCAATTAGTAAAATTTTGAGAATATATAATTTTATTAATAAAAATACCAAAAAATACTATGATTCTTAAAATTTTACTAATTGATTCTAACTTTATGCTCTAATAAACCTTGTTTAGTATACAAAAATGCATTATTCTAGTATATTTAATTTTATATTTTTTGAAAATTTAAGAGAAAATGTTTAATTTTGGATATTTTGATTAAAAAATCCAAAATTAAGCATTTTCTCTTAAATATTTATGAAATATAAAATTAAATATATTGAAATAATATATTTTTGTATGCTAAACAAGGTTTATGAGAGCATATAGTTATAATCAATTAGTAAAATTTTGAAAATTGTAATATTTTATATAATTTTATTAATAAAAATACTAAAAAATATTATGATTCTCAAAATTTTACTAATTAATTCTAACTTTATGTTTTAAATAAACTTGTTCAGCACATAAAAATACACTATGAAAGGTGTAGCGACTTAGTGAAGTGGTCTAGTTATCACCTTCACTAAATGTTATAGGAAGATCTCATGTTTAAATCCTAGGGACAGCACTTTTGTAATATGAGAAAAGTCTGCGACGATCTTCACTAAGGTTGGCCCATAGAGGATCTGTCGAGATGGTGTCAGGTAGCACCGTTGAGGTGATTCCGGAAGGCTGTAATCTGTGGGCTGTGCATAGCACGGGTCACAGAACCGGAGATCGAAGC